TATACACAGTAGACATTTGCGACTATACACAGTAGACAATTACAACTATACACAGTGGACAATTGCAACTATACACAGTAGACAATCGCAACTATACATAGTACACAATTACAACTATACATAGTAGACAATTACAACTATACATAGTAGACATTTGCGACTACATAGTAGACAATTACAACTATACACAGTAAACAATTACACTATACATAGTAGACATTTACAACTATACATAGTAGATATTTACAACTATACATAGTAGACAATTGCAACTATACATAGTAGACATTTACAACTATACATAGTAGACAATTACAACTATACATAGTACACAATTACAACTATACATAGTAGACAATTACAACTATACATAGTAGACATTTGCGACTATACATAGTAGACATACAACTATACACAGTAGACATTTACAACTATACATAGCACAGTAGACATTTGCGACTATACACAGTAGACAATTACAACTATACACAGTAGACAATTGCAACTATACACAGTAGACAATCGCAACTATACATAGTAGATATTTACAACTATACATAGTAGACATTTGCGACTACATAGTAGACAATTACAACTATACACAGTAAACAATTACACTATACATAGTAGACATTTACAACTATACATAGTAGATATTTACAACTATACATAGTAGACAATTACAACTATACATAGTAGACATTTACAACTATACATAGTAGACAATTACAACTATACACATTAGACAATTACAACTATACATAGTAGACAATTACAACTATACATAGTAGACAATTACAACTATACATAGTAGACATTTGCGACTATACATAGTAGACATACAACTATACACAGTAGACATTTACAACTATACATAGCACAGTAGACATTTGCGACTATACACAGTAGACAATTACAACTATACACAGTAGACAATCGCAACTATACATAGTAGATATTGACAAGTGTAACTATTAACACTACTTATTTGATACTCTCCACAGTAGACAATTACAACTATACATAGTAGACATTTACAACTATACATAGTAGACAATTACAACTATACATAGTAGACATTTACAACTATACATAGTAGACAATTACAACTATACATAGTAGACATTTACAACTATACATAGTAGACAATTACAACTATACATAGTAGACAATTACAACTATACATAGTAGACATTTACAACTATACATAGTAGACAATTATAACTATACATAGACAATTACAACTATACATAGTATACATTTGCGAATATACATAGTAGACAATTACAACTACACATAGTAGACATTTACAACTATACACAGTAGACAATTACAACTATACACAGTAGACAATTACAACTATACATAGTAGATAATTACAACTATATAAAGTAGACATTTACAACTATACACAATAGACAATTACAACTATGCATAGTAGACAATTACAACTATACATAGTAGACAATTACAACTATACATAGTAGACTTTTACAACTATACATAGTAGACATTTGCGACTGTACATTGTAGACAATTGCAACTATACAGAGTAGACATATACAACTATACACAGTAGACATTTACAACTATACATAGTAGACATTTGCGACTATACACAGTAGACAATTACAACTATACACAGTAAACAATTACAACTATACACAGTAGACAATTACAACTATACATAGTAGACAATTACAACTATACATAGTAGAAATTTACAACTATACATAGTAGACATTTGCAACTATACACAGTAGACAATTACAACTATACATAGTAGACAATTACAACTATACATAGTAGACAATTACAACTATATATAGTAGACATTTACAACTATACATAGTAGACATTTGCGACTATACATAGTAGACAATTGCAACTATACACATTAGACATATACAACTATACACAATAGACATTTACAACTATACATAGTAGACATTTGCGACTATACACAGTAGACAATTACAACTATACACAGCAGACAATTGCAACTATACACAGTAGACAATCGCAACTATACATAGTAGATATTTACAACTATACATAGTAGACATTTGCGACAATACATAGTAGACAATTGCAACTATACACAGTAGTCAT